CTGATACGTTAGCCATGAGAACACATGCAAACATTGTACAATTGTTGAACGAATGCGCGCGGCGCTAAGGCGCGAGCCACAGTTCGAAAAGTATCCACCCTCAATCCGTGAAGCTCTGGCAATTGTGAGAACGAATGCTCGCGGCGCTAAGGCGAGAGCCACAGTTTGAAAACCACCCGCCCTGGATCTGTGAAGCTCTTGCAAGTATTTAAACGACAGTGCGAGGCGCTACGGCGAGGGCAACATTTTGAGAACCACCCGTCCTCAACCCGTGAAGCTCTGGCACATTTTGAAACCAGCGTGCGCGGCGCTAAGGCGCGAACCACATTTTGGAAGTGGCCAACCCCACGTCTGTGAAACTGTTGCCAGCTTCTAAGCTCCAGGTGCTCTCGGGCGAAATGCCCGACCCGCTCTTCCGACTTGCCTCGGGGTGCGAAAGGGAGAAGTTATTCATAAGGACAAGGAGTGGTGCTGCTGCTGATGCTGATGACGATGCTGATGGTGATGATGATGCTGATGTCGATAATGATGCTGACGATGATAGTGATGATGATGCTGATGATGCTGGTGATGATGATGCTGGTGATGATGTGCTGATGATGATGATGATGATGATGATGATGATGATGATGATGATGATGAGGAGGAGGAGGAGGAGGAGGAGGAGGAGGAGGAGGAGGAGGAGGAGGAAGAGGAGAGAGGAGGAAAGATGAGAGCGGGAGGAGGGAGGAGGGAGGGGGGAGGGGGGCGAGGGCGGAGGTGAGGATGGAGGAGGGCGGAGGGGAGGGTGGGAAGGTGGGAAGGAGGGAAGGAGGGAAGGGGGCGGGGAGGAAGGAGGAATGACGAAGGAGGAAGGATACCAAAGGAAGGGGGAATGAGGAAGGAGGCGGGAGGAAGGAGGGAGGATGGGGGAAGTCGGAAGTGGGCAGGAGGAAGGCGGAAGGAGGAAGGAAGGAGGAAGGAGGAAGGCGGAAACATGTAGGAGGATGGACGAAGGAGGGAGGAAGGAGGAAGGCGGAAGTAGGTCGGAGGAAGGAGGAAGGAGGGAGGAACGAGGAAGGCGGAAGTAGGTAGGACAGAGGACGGAGGGCTGAGGAAGGAGGAAGGCGGAAGCATGTAGGAGGAAGGAGGAATGAGCACGGAGAAAGGAGGAAGGCGGAAGGAGGAAGGAGGAAGGAGGACGGAGGAAGGAGGACGGAGGAAGGAGGACGGAGGAGGAGGAGGGAGAATGAGCAGGAAGGCGGAAGAGGAGGAGGGATGAGCAGGAGGAGAAAGAGGAAGGTGAACCAGGCGATTCGGAAAATGTAGCAAGCTCCCTCGCACGCTGGCGAATGGTGCCGCGCTGTGGCGATACCGTCAGCGGAGGCCCACGCGTTGGCCGAGCCACGACCCTCGCAGGGGGGATCCACTTTGGCAGCGTCTCGCTCGGCGCGCAGGGTCACAGCAGCCAGCCCGCGCAACGGTCGAATCACGACCCTCGCTGGCTGGCAGCTCACGCTGCAAGTGACAGCCCACGTTCTGGCCGAACCACGGCCAGCTCTGGCTCGGCAGCTCCCGCTGAAGGAACCAATTGAAACTCATTCGTTGGCCGCAGCTCGGCCTGCGCCTCGAGGCGCGCCGCAGCAAACTCAGGGGCCTCCCGAGCCGATCCCGAGACGGACTGCCTCCCTCGCTTGCTGGGCCAGGGCCAAGACCAGAGTGGCCTCGCCGCCCAGCGCCTGCCGCAAGCTGCCGTGAACCTCTGGGTTGCTGGCCTGCTCTGGCATCGCCCTGCGCTTGCCTGTGTTCTGCAGCCCGGTCATCCGTGTGCGGCATGGCCCGTGACATCACCGTCGCCTCCAGCTGCACTCTGGGCGGCCCAGTCTTCTTGGCCTTCTGGTCGCTCTTGTTCTTCTTGCCTGTCTGCTGCCAGAGGGGAGGCAGAGTGGAGGCCCATGCCAAGAACCACGCTGCTTGCCTCCAGGGTGCCGCGGGTTTCTTGGGGTTCGATAGTTTTGCGATGGAAAGCGTGACGCTCCCGCACCAAAACTCAGTGGACGTCCTGGGGTCTCAGGGTTGGGTTTCTTGTGGAAGGTTTCTTGTGGTCGGGCCTCCATTGCAGTGGCAAGTTCCCGCTGTTGCCCTGCCTTGTGCCGCACGGCATCCTCTCTACGGCAGGTCTCCAGCGTTGTTTTTTTTTTCCCCCGACATGCCGACCATCTGCACCGACAGAGTTGCTTGGCGCACCGACTTTGTCACCGCATCCTCCTCCTCCTCCTCCTCCTCCTCCTCCTCCTCCTCCTCCTCCCCCTCTTCCTCCTCCTCCTCCTCCTCCTCCTTTATCTTCACCCCTTTCTTCTTCTTGGGCTGCCTCTCCACGGCCGCGTGTTATGGCAGCGGCCCCATGTTCCAAGCAAGGGTCCATGGCGCGGGATTTGGCCACGATCTCGGCGAGGTCCTTGTGCGTCTGCTCGGAGGGGCGGAGGCACGGCGACGTCCCCACGGCCTTCGACCCCCGGAACCTGCTCCGGCATCTCGGCTCGACGCCTGGCCCCCTGCCCTGCCCTTGCTCCGGCGGCGGCGCCATCGCCTCCGCGACCTTCACCTGCTGCGGCTTCGCGTATACAGTCGCGGCCTTGAAGAAGGAACCCTTTTGGTTGGGGAGGGGCTCCGCGTTCCTTAAATGTTTCACGGCTTGCCTCAGGTTTTCCTTATATATTCGATAGGAAGTCGAAGTTTAACATTTGGAAAAAAGGGGCCTCGTTCCTTATTTAGGGTTCCTTAGGTCAACGCCCCGACGGTACCTTCTGCGCCACCTCGCTCTCCTGCTTCTCGGAGCCCGCCCTGAGCAGCCGTCGGAGCCGCTGCCACAGCCGCCGATGAAGAACTCGGATAGCCCACGGCCGCCCTCGCAGACGTGGCCCCCTTGGGCATCTGCTTGGCTTCACGTGGCCTTCTCCGTGTCCGTACTCCTCACCGCCTGGTCCGCCGCGAGGCCCAGCTGCGGCTTCGCCCCCGGCCACTCCTGCGGCGGCTGTTCCCGCTCTGGCGTAGAACTCGCTCGGCCCGTCCCCGCCGCTGTTGACGCAGTTTTCTCGCCCTTCGGCCAGATGGGCACTGACGATGCTGCCCTCCAAACCAGCGCGCGAGATGCCTTCAAGCGAAGCTCCGTGTTCGCCTCCTCCTTCACCCAGGCGCGCGGTACCTGAAGTGCATGCCACCCCTCGCTGCACTCCATCCTCCTGGGGGGTGAGTGGGGCACCTTCTTCGCATCGTACGACAGGTCCTTCACCTTGTCCACCGCGACGCGCTTCTCCTGCAGCTTCCCCTTCACGGTTGCCCGAGTGATCTCCTGGAAGTGGGCAGTTTCTTCGATGATGTTGCGCACCTCCCAGTTCTTTTGCTCTCGCTGAACGCGCTGCTCAAGCCCCAGCTGTGGGTCGACGTAGCCGCCGCTATCAACGACCTCCACGTCGACCGAGAGCTCAGTGGAATAGGAAGAGGAGCAGAAGGAGGAGCGGGAGCAGGACCAGGAGGAGGAGCAGGATGATCAGAAGGAGAGACGAGGGAGGAGGAGGAGGAGGACGATGCGGACGAGGGAGGAGGAGGATGACGCGGCGGAGGGTGAGGATGCAGGATGCGGGAGGAGGGAGGAGCGAGGAGAAGCAGGGTTGAGGAGGATGAGGGATGATGAGCAGCAGGAGGAGGATGAGGAGGAGCAGGAGGAATTGGTGCAGGAGTGCCAGCATGATGATGAGAAGGGTGAGGAAGATCAGGAGAAGGAGGATGAGGAGGAACAAATGGTTGGGGAGGAGGGAGAGGGGGTGGCGAGGCGGAGCGAGGGGGATGAGGAGGATGAGGAAGGAGGAGCGAGCTCGTTTCAGAATCTCACTTGCTCGCGAGGCCGTCGACCCCGACCCTCCAGATCATTTTCGTCGAACAACCTATAGTGGAGCCAGAAGTCAGCAGAACGTTGTGCCCCAGAACTTTTAGACTTTTCGAGATTCCCAGATGTCCTATTGTTCCTGACGGACTGCAGCAACAAGTGCCGCTAGATACTCCGGAGCTCTTGGGACGTATCCTGAGCCAATCTTACCATGCGATCTTTCTCGTCATAGAGACGTTTGGGCCCCAGACGACAGGACAGATCCAGCGGGAGAAAACGAGGGTCGGAAACCGTTTCGACCTGCGGCCGCAGGTGTTGTTCGAGCGTGCCGACGTCCGGGTTTGTCAAAAAGTTCCTTCTCTCTCGGCCTTGAAGCATAATAGACCCTCTCCAGGAGGAATCTTCAGTAATGGTAAAACAAGCAGTCTGGTGACGATGTGTCTATTATTTTGTTGGGTATATTATTATATTGGGATCTGGTTTGGTTATTATTTGTTTTCCTTCCACACTCCGCCCGTGAGAGGACATGCCCAACTTAAGCCTAACCAGAAGCAGCCAGAGGTCCGCGCGGATCTCTCGAATCGAGGCTTGCCCCCCCGCCCCCTGGCGGCGTCCCCCTGGTGCCAGGAGCGCGGGGTCAGCGCCGACCCAAGGCAGCCGCGCGGACCTCCGAAAGGTTATCTGATCGTCTTCTTTTACCAGTTTGAAGCATATCCCTATCCCTATGTTTGACATCACACCACCTCGATGCCGATCTTCAGGATTCCCTCAGTTTCTGAGGGCCTATCCCTAAGATTGTCCTCGCTTGTTTTTTGCTCGCCCATCTTAGGGATAGGGATATGTTCGAGGCTGGTTATTCTTATTCATTGCTTTGCCGATCGACGCGGGCGCTCGCAACCCCCGCCCCCGATGAAGTAGATCTTGGCTGTTATTGGCGCCTGTCTCAAGCAGGTGGAGCCCCCCCTCGCGGGACGCACTGTTGCACACAGGGGCATTAAGCAGAGGTCTGGAGCAAGACTCACCCCCCCTTGCCCTCCCCCTTCCGCCCAATGTTGAAACGCCGAATGAGAAAACGCTCACAAGGCTATTTGTGTGTGTGTGTGACGGTGTTTGCCAGTCTGTGCCCTCGGCTGAGGTTCCACATGAGCGTGGAGAGAAAGCCGCTTGAGGCGCCGCCCGCATGCGATGTTGCGCTCTGGCAGTCGAGGAGGACCGAGTGCAGGAGGAGGGGGGGATAAGTCAGGTGCGCGCGCACCATACCTGACATCGTTCACCTCTCACCCGTCCATTCGGATTACGCTGAATTATTGTGCATCCGCCGAAGGGGATGTCCTAGAGGACAGTAATCCCCCAATCGACCCCATCTTGTGATGCGCAAACAGAGGGGGTGGCTGGGCTTGCACAGTGGAGGAGATGGTTGGCGTATGACAAGGGTGATGAGCATGAGCAAGAAGACGATGAGGAAGCAGGAGGAGGAATACGCTCAGCAGCAGCATCAGCAGCAGCAGCAGCATGAGGAGTAGGAGGAGCAGGAGCACGGGATGACTAGGAGAAGGCTGAGGAGGGGAAGGAGGGGGCCCGCAACGACGACATCAGACGTCAGACGGCTCTCGGGTGCCGTAGAAGGAGAGCATTCAATATCGTTGCAGTTTGCTTTCAAGCGATGAAGGAATTGGTGTGGAACTCTCTCGCCGACTCGGCACAGCGAAGGCGGAGCTCGACAAACTGCAGCGAGTGTGGGGCCATTGCGCGCTGACGAAGAATAAGAAAGCTTGAGACCTTCAGCTTTGGCAGCCTCAGTAAGTCATAGTGTCCGCGCACGGATGTCCTGAAACAGGTGGAGACGGTGAAGCTCGGCGCGTTCCACGTGAGGTGCTTGAACAAGTGCCCCACGCACTTACCACACACGTACAGGAGCAGCAAGCAAGCACCACTCCACTGAGCAATATGTCGTTGCACCGTCGGTCAATGCTACAGAGGGATACTGCCCAGAAGCCAGCTGATCACCCAGTCGGGTTCATTGTCCTGCAGCCTTCGTCATGCAAGTGGCTTGCACAGAACTGTAAACGGAACCTGAGGCGCCCCCATGCAATTTGAATCGAAACAGTTTTTTGTTGCTCACGCTATCTAAGCCGTGCAGGGTGAGGAGGCCCCGCCGCAGCTCTGGCAAGACAGCGCCGTGGCCGCTGCATCCTGGCACGCAGCCGTGAGACGGTTTTCCGACGCCCTGTGAGGCCACGGCCTTTTTTGTTTATGTGCTTGGCATTCGCAGGGGACGTCAGTGCGGATGCCCTTAGCTAGTCCCTGGCTGTTCCGCGCATTCGCGAGTTCTGTGTTGTCTGGCTGTTCGTCCCCCAGTCTTCCTCTCCTGTCCTCCTCCTCCTCCTCCTCCTATCCTTGATTTTCTCATGCTGTGTTGGATTGATTGGCGTAGCCGTTTAAATCATCCAATAAGGGCTCTTAGTACGCAGCGTATGTTCGTCCGACCGGGCAAGCAACTTTAGTAACCGCATTGTCAGTCCACTTCTGTGCCAAAAAAATACCCTTTTAGGTGGGGCGCATCGTTTGACGTTTCTTCTGGCCTGCGGCCAGCGCAACGGGGGCGTGGTAATTCGTTATTTTTCGCACGCTCGCTCTCTCTCTCTCTCTCGAGTCATGGTTCACCTCATGAGTTTGCCTACCGCAGGTCGGCTCTTGGGTTGCACTTGGTTTGCTTGGCGACTCTCTGAATCGCATGGCAGTTGAGGTTGTGCAGTGTTGAGTTTACTTGTTTGCGTGGCACAACGATTCTGGGCGAATTATCGCGGGAATGGACGCGGATAATAATCATCGTACAGTCGGGATCACACGGAGCCGCACCCGGCTCTGGCCAATTCGGAGGCTTCAGGGAGCTTCAGAGATAGTTGCTGGGAACATATGAGGGTTCTCTCGGGGCCTTTGTGCCAGCCGTTGGGTCCTCTCGGAGCTATCTTGGGGTCTCTGTGGGAGCCCACCATAGACCTGAACAGGGGCGAGGCTTTGTAGATTTCCTTTTTATTGTTCCCGAGTCGCCACACATTTTCGTCTTGTCTGTTGGGGTTCTCTTGCCACCTTTGGGACCTTGCCGCGCCCTTTCGGGACATCGTGCGGCCCCTGAGGCCCGTCGGAAACGAAACGGAGAGAAGTCAACAGTCGCTTGGCAACCAACTGTTTTGTGCCCCCCTGGGGGCATCCGTTGGAGACTCCGTGGCCGCCTCAAGCCGTCAGGGGGTAGCCCCAGAGTCTATGGGTGAGCACGATGGCTTGGCATCGCTCGGACGTGCGCATTTTTCTCGCAGCGAGGACTGTCGAGGAAATATATTGGATCATCTTGCGAAAACCAAGCGCTCGAACCGAAAGAACGGACGTCCGAGCAATGGCAAGGTGGCCTATTGGAGCCATGCCGTAAGCAGCCTTGGACTATGGGCCATGCTTGGGCCATCAGGAGGTCATCTTCGGCTACGTGGTGCTCTGGAGTCGTTTTGGACCACTTGACGACCCGCGCCGCCTCTGGTCCTCTTCGCATGGGTGGGTCGGGGGAAGGGGTCAGCTTTCGGCTCTCACAAAAGCGGACGGAGGTGGTCTTCTGGAAGAGATCCTCCTCTGCACAGCCCTGCCGGCCCGCAGGAATCGTGGGGGTTGCAGCGCGCACTGAGCATTCGGCGGCACGCCGCCCTGCCCTTTCGCCTGCCGCCCTGCCCTTTCTTTCGGTGGCGTGCCACCCTCACTTTTTATGTCCTCGTTTGCCTACGCGCCCTCAGCATGCACGGCCCACCGACTGACTGACTGACCTGCGCGCCCGATGGACTGGCTGGAGCTCGTGGAGGGCGCCGCGGGGGGGGGGGGGGGGGGGGGGGGACCAGGCAGGCCTGCCTGCCCGGCTGCCCGCGCCCCTGCGGGCCGCCCCCGCCCTGCCGAGCCGGGGAGAGCGCGCGGCCGCGGCGCTCCCCCTTGGCCGCGCGCAGGTCCTGGGGCTCGACGTGGGCAACACCGCCGGCAACAAGACCGGCGCGGTGACCCGGCGGCCATTACTGCCCCGCCCCCTCTCGGGCGATCGCAGCCATGGGTCAGGGGGGCGTGGATCACCACCCACCAAACCACCCCAACCCAACCCGAAGGCTCAGATCTGCCTCGATTTCCAGTGGGGGGCGTCGGGAAACATCGAAATTCGGGTCTCCGGGTTGGGTTGGGGTGGTCTGGCAGGTAGTCAGTGGATTGGCGTCGGGCCCCGCTTCCGCATGAAACCGCGGAGTTCCACCGCCGAGCGAGGCGGCACCGGCCGCATTTTGGGGAGGGCACCTCCCCCGATCCATGGATCTGGCGACCGCGCTGCAGATCCACAGATCGCTAATCCATGCTTGCGCGCCCCCCGATCCTCCTCGCCGTGCGGCAGGCTCGCGCCGCCACGGCGCGGTGGCGGTCGCGGCGCGGGCGTGCAGGACGCCCTCGGGGTGCACGCCTCGAGCGCCAGGGCCCACACGCGTCGCGCAGTCCCCTGGAGAGGTGGGGGCGGACAGCTTCCTGGGGGGCTTCGAGAGCTCAGATCGCTCGGCACTGAAGGGATCGCACGGTGTGTAGTCCAATATCAGCACGCATGTCGGCATCAGTACACGCCTTTCCATCGGTCTCACAATCTCTCGATCCCACGGTGTATCGTCCAATCTTGAATGTCAATACGTTTGTCCATCTCGTCCCATACCTATGTCGATGTAGCTACCCACCATCTCATACTGTGAACCCATCTCGCCATCAACCAATCGATCGATCTCACTATCAATCGATCGGTATCCGCATGTCTCGCTCTCGTGATCTAGTTGCCGAAACCGCGAATCTTGCATCTCTAGTTCCTCCTCTAGTGCGCCCACTATACATACACACAAATGAAAGACTGCGCTCTGTGGGCTCTGGGAACGTGCGGGTTGGTCGAAACGCTCCCCCTCTCCCCCCTTAACTGCAAGGGTGGGGGGGGTCGAACCGCCGCCCCCCCCCCTTCCGAGGGCGAGCACTGGCGCCAGCGCCAGCGCCGTCGGGTAGCCACGGTGACGACGACGACGACGATCGAGTGTCAATAGGATGCTGTTCAGGCTGGATCAAGCCCTCGAAAATTTGTGGTAGGGCTGGGCCGAGCCCTGCTAGGATCGAACTGGAGTTTTATCCAGCAGTTCTAGAAGTCCATAAGGGCTGGATCGAGCTTTAGTACAATTAAGCCAGAGTTGGATCGCGCTATAGTTAGAGTCTACTAGAGTTTGACCGAACTCGATTAGGATGCTACGAAAGCTTGGTCGAGCTACGCTACGTTTCTGGTAGAGCCGGATCCAGCCACAGGAGGCTCCGAGCAAGAGTGGCTCCAGCTATGGAGGGCGGATCGAGCCCGGCGGGTCCAGGGATCTGATCCAAGCTGGCGTCCATGAGCATACGCTCTCTCGCCGGTAATATATCTCTCTCTCTCTCTCTCTCTCCAAATATCGACCTCACGCCCACGGGTGAAAACGGACAAGATTAAAGGACCGCTCCATGATGTATCGTTTTCCTTGCTTATGTGTCGATGGCATGTCCGTGCCCTCATACATATACATGGTTCTTTTGGTGTCCAGATGTGTTATCCAGCGTGGGCTCCAGACCGTGTGTTTTTCACAAGTTACGTTGTGCAATACAGGTTGTGTAATCCACACTGTTCATTACATGTGTTCCGGCCTACTTGGTGCGATATACGTTGTGCAATCTATGTGTTTCAATGCACAATGTGTGCAATCTATGTGGTGCCATCTATGCGACTCAATCCATGTAGTGCGGCATATGTTGTGGACTATGTGGTGCAATATATGTTGTGCAAGATATGTGGTGCACCCAGCGTGGTACAATATATGTGGTCATTGGTACGATTAGTAGTGGGAAACTTGGAAGTGTCAACGCCATTGCTCGCGCAATCATCCCACCCACGCGCCCGCAAGTTGGTTTGCAAAACCCATGCGGCGGCGAACGCGATGAGTGCTTGATGTTGGCTAGTGCATCTCTGCGGCCGCGCTGGCCCACGCATTCCCGCGCGTTTGGCGCGACCGACGCGGGCGCGGCAGCGCTGACCTTTGGGCACGTCCAAACGGGCACTTCGGTGCGAGTCGGTGAGGCGCGCTATCATTGCGACGTCGACAAAGGTAGACACGATGATGATCGTAGCGATGATGGCGACGATGGTGACGGTGACGACGGCAAGGCCAATGACGACGCCGATGTTGTTCATGCCGGTGACGATGTCGATGGCCCCGCGTCGGTGATGAAGGGTTTGGAAAAATTCCATATGCGCGCGAGGCCGGCGCGCGCTAGTGGTCCACTTTGTTGTTGTTTGACAACTATCGTGTCCCCACTCAGCGCGCGCGCAAAGGCGGTCGAATGATTTCGACGTGCGGCGCGAGATGCTCGCTTCAATAAATTATTTCAGATCTTGTGAGAACGCTGAGAAACTCTGGATTTCTTGAAGACGTCTCAATTACGCGCAGTTTTTTCCCCCCGAAACCGGCGTTGCCAAGCCAGCTCGTTTTACGTGTTTTCGGGACATCCGATGATGATTTTTTACGAAACTTGGAGTTGTTGAAGGATTTCGACGCGCGCGCGACGACGCGCGCGTTCTGCTCTTCGTCGCGTGCATTGCAAGAAATTATCTCGACAACGCGCGCGCATTGGCGTTGGAACGACTTCGACATGCGCGCGCGGGAGACACGTTTGGTAGCATGTGATGAACATGTTGAGTTGCGAATGTTTATTAAAACATGCATCAAGGATGAGCGCATAGTTTTTCTAGATTTCACGTTGCGAAACCATTTGTGTTTTACATTTTTTCGGGGGACTCCATCGTGAAATCCTTGCGAACCGATGGTTTTTGACGGACTCGGGCATGCGCGCGCGACGACGGGCGCGTGTGCATTTCGTCTCTTCTTGTTTGCAAAAGGATTCTTGAAAACGGCTGATTTCTGATAAGCGAGTGAACGCGATTAGATGTTTGCAAAGGACGCTGGTGGACCAACTAGTGACTGCTCGGGGTGGTATTCTTTTTTTTGATGGACAATGGGGTAGGACCGCTGGCAAATATCAATGCGAAGCGGCGGGCCGTGACGTCGGAGGGAGGGATGTAGATCTTAAGACTCCCTTTGAAAGGAAAACAGATTTGGTGCAAAATATGTTGTGCATTTTATATGGTGCCACCGGTATTGCGCAATCCAGGTGGTGCAATCCATGTGGTGCAACCTATGTCGTGCAAGGTGTGTGGTTCAGTGTGCTGCAATTCGGCCCTGCCGAATTTGAAGTTGTCAACTCCACCGCTCGCGAAATCACCCCACTTACCCGCCCTCGACCTGGTTTGCAAAATCCAGGCGGCGGCAGTCGCGATGACTGCTCGGCGCCTGCTGGTGCATCGCCGCGGCCGCGCTAGCGCGCAGGCTCGCGCGCGAAGCGGCCAGTTTGCCTGACGCGACCGACGCGGCCGCAGTGGCGTTGATCGCTGGGTACTGTCCAGCACGTGTCGCAGTCCGCGCTGACATGCGGACACTTCAGTACGAGTCGGTCATTCGGGCGGGCGCGGTATCATGGCGATGTCGAGAAAGGCAGGCACGAAATGACAGTGGCGGTGCTGGTGACGATGATAGCAATGACGACGGCAAGGCCAATGACAGCGCCGATGTTGACCACGCCGGTGGCGACGAAGGTACGTTCGCGTCGGTGATGAATGTTTTTGAGAGGGTTCGGCATGCACGCGCAGCCGACGCGCGCGAACGGCCCGCATGGTTTTAATTTGACACGGGCCGCGCCGTCTCCTCAGCGCACTCCCGGCGTTCGAGCGATTTCGACACGCGCGCGCGAAAAGGTATTTTTGGCAGAATTTCATGACGTCGTCGACAAGAGTACTCGTCAGAGAGCGCGCGTATGTTTTCCAGAAAGCAGATGTTGCAGAACGATGAATTCTGTGTGTTTTTGATGTGTTCCGGGGCACTGGGCGTTTCAACCCTTGCGACACCAAGAGTTGTGGACGGATTTCAGCATGCGCGCGCGTCGACGCTCGCGCTTGCACTTCGTCCTCTTTTGTTTCAAGAGGCTTCTGCGATACCACGCGCTCAGAGGGCCTTCGACCGGTTGTGGTATGCACGAATGAGCGGCACGGTGGGTAACAGTTAGTGTCGACGTTGAAAACATTATTTTGGTTCATGAGCCCGCAGAAGCGCGAACGCATGTGCATTTATAATATCATGTTGCGAAACTGTTGTTGGTTCCGTGTATATTAACACGCTTTCGGGGCATTTGATTCTAAGTTTTTGAAGGATTTCGGGACGCGCGTGCGACGTCGCGCGCGTGCGCACGCCGATCCATCTTTGCCAAATGCTTTTGGGAATTATTGGTTTTTGATGATCGAGTGCGCGCGCCTGTTCAGGCAGGGTGAGGCGGGGATTCGATAAGCGTTTGCCTGGGATGGTACGGTTCATATCTGGGGTGAACGATTTGGAAGTACTATCTGCAAGTTGCAGAAACAAAAAAGTGACCCAGTCAGTCGGGGGGAGGTAGATTTCCATGTTCTTCTAGACAGTAGACTCCATGCGGTGCAACGCATGTGGTGTCGCTTATGTGGTGTAGTTGATTTTAACCAACGGGTTGACATATCCTTTGCTCTTGCAAACGTTCCACCCAACCACCCGCAACGTAGTTTGCAAAACCCTTGCGGTGGCAATTGCGATGCATGTTTGGCGCTGGCTGGTGCATGTCTGCGGCCGCGGTAACCGCAGCACGCGCGCGCAGCGGCTAGCTAGTTTGGCGCGACCGACGCGGCCGCGGTGGCGTTGACCGCTGGGCACATCCCAGCGGGCACTTCACTGCGACTCGGCGACTTGGGCGGTCGCGGTGTCATGACAACGTTTACAGCGGTAGACACGATGATGATAGTAACGATGCTGGTGACGACGTTGGCAACGACGAAAGCGCGGCCAGGGCGGGCGCCGATGCTGATCACGCCGGCGACGATGACGGCGTCCCC